TTACATTAAGGTTTGTGCTATGATGCACTGATTATTTTTTCTTTCTAAAGAGTCGTACAATATGCCAACACGTATTTCCAACAATGGACGCGTTTTTGACAATGCTCCCGACATTGAAGACATACTGAAGAACATAGTACGATTAAAAAATTGTAAATGGCAACATTGAAACACATTGTTCTGAAACAATGTTTAAAAATTTTTAATGGTTTTTTTAATATATTTTTTTTTTAAAAATTTTAATTTATTTAATATAAAAAATTAAATTTTTCTTATTTTTCTATTCAAGAACCCAAATCAAATTCGTGAAACTTTATGTTTTTTCAATAACAATGTGTGAATAATCATGTCAATAATCCGACCAGTATATGATGTCATTACAATTCGACATTTTTCAAAACCATCCCACAACAAGTTTGATCAGCAAGTCCTTGACATTGATGCTCCGACACTAAGCATTTTCTACACCCCATAACTTGAACAGGGTCAAATCTTTGTCTGTCGTCTTTTTACATCGACGTACCAACGTCCCTCAGACATATTGACAAAAATGCTTTTTGAAATCCGACGTCCCAATAAATTAGTTGCATAACATTAAATGCCCGCTTTAACACATTGGGTTGTATACTCTTTCAATGTTCCTGATCACATGACATCGACGGCCCAACCTCGACATCAATGAAATATTTATCTTTTTTTAAAGCAGAATTTTAGTTAAATAAACTTATTTTTTTATTTTTTAATATTTTTTTTTTATAATAGAAAATAATTAATAAATTGCATTGTTTTCCCGTTGTTTATTACCATGACTTTTTAAATAATTTTTTGTGTCCTGTAATTTGCACTGTTATAAGTGTATCTATTCGTTTGTATCCGCGTCAATAGCTGCATCATAATTAATAGTTCTTTCCTAGAAAACTTAGGGCTGGTTGGTATGCGGATTTTAGGCCTTATTTAAGGTCGGATATTCGGGCGAAATCAGCCAAACACCTAAAATGCAAAATCATATATATATATATATGTGTGTCTGTGTGCACGCGCGCACGCGTGAGAGAGAGAGAGAGAGCGAGAGAAAATTTTATATCCTTAAGTCAAACATGTATCTAAAATTTCCATTTTAATTTTGAAAGTATTTATTTTAACCTATAATCATAATGTCATTAAATATATATGAGGAAAAGAAGCATATTTAAAATTGAGCAACTTGAACTAGAATAATTCTTTTTTGTTAAAGATTATTTGCTTTTGGTTGTGAAATAATTAGAAAGAATTTGGATAAAATATGATAAAAAAAAAAGAGAAAATAAAATGATAAAAATTTTTAAATAAATAAAAATGATATTTGAAGGAGTTTTTAAGCTCATGTAGCTTGCTTATCATTTCAAAATAATCTTATGGGATTTATAAGCTCTATAAAGATATTTAAATAAAATACACCTCTAAAGTGGAGTTATGATCAAATTATCTAATAAACAAATTTTAATGGATGTCCTCCTTCTAAAGAAAGTATTATCCAAAAATGATAGATGAAATTATTGCTATTTTATTTCTTAGATGCATGTATCATTTATTATTGAATTTTTAATTTCTATATTATATTTTTTTCTTGCAATTATTGTAAATTCTAAGGGCTTTAGTTCTATTTTACTATTGAAAGAAGTATGCATGCAAGGTGACCTTCTAAATCATCATTGGGACAGCCACAACCCCATAACATGCCTCCTTATTTGAAAGGAAGACCTCAAAATTTTCTCTTCAATTATTGTTTTATGCTTCATTAAGATGTTATGGACTGTAGATAGATACATCTTTGAGAAGTTATAATAATTGTTCTTACTACTGCCGTTTTTTATGCGTACACTGATACTTAGGCTTCATTTGGGACTGCTCTTACTGCTTCTTAAAGCAGCTTTTTAGTACAAAAATTAATTTTTTTTTGTACTAGAAAGCTGCTTTAAGACGCAGTAAGAAAGCCGTCCCAAATAAAGCTTTAATCTGTAAAATGATGTAATTAGTTCTTTGTGAATAGTTTTTACGGTTCTTTTACTATTAATTGCTATCATTGTTGTTTTATTGTAGTTGAGCTTAACCTTTTTGTAGCATCTTGCCATACCTTCATATAATGTTATAACCGGGATAAATTATTCTGTGCAGTCACCGGATGCCGTTTGAAAGCGAATCATGGCACATTACATTACTTTTTTACTGTGTATCAGACTATTGGTGTTGTGTACTGAGTGACGTGGCACATCCTAATTCGCCTCTGAATGATCCGGTAACCACACAGAATAATTTCCCTATAATTGAGCATCTGCTTTTAGATAGCTTGTCATTTGTCCTTAGGGTGACTTACATATATGCCATTGAACTCTTTTATCATTTACATACTTTTTTTATTCACTCAAACTATTTTATGAACTATTACTTAATTTTTATTATATTTAAATAATGTTCATATTTATTATATTAACCGGTTTAATCCGAAGTTGAACCATCGAACTTTACTGTGTATCAGACTATTGGTGTTGTGTACTGAGTGACGTGGCACATCCTAATTCGCCTCTGAATGATCCGGTAACCACACAGAATAATTTCCCTATAATTGAGCATCTGCTTTTAGATAGCTTGTCATTTGTCCTTAGGGTGACTTACATATATGCCATTGAACTCTTTTATCATTTACATACTTTTTTTATTCACTCAAACTATTTTTTTTTATGTACATATCAACTATTACTTAATTTGGATTATATTTGAATAATGTTCATATTTATTATATTAACCGGTTTAATCCTGATTTAACTTCGGTTGAACCATCAAACTGTGAACCTCTTCTTTTTTCTTTTCATTTTGGTGTCTTTTTTCGTTTCATCATCGTAGATTGTTAGGGGTGTGCCGAGCCCTATTGAGATTGACATTAATATTGACTTCAGCAAAGTTGATGGTAAATATGATTGATTATAGTTTTTTTAATCTTTGCCACAAACTAGGCTACTGTTGGTTTGAGTGATTAATAAAATAAAGCATTAAGCTATTATTATTTTAAATATGATTATAGAATTATGGATCTGATTATTTAAAATAAAAAATTCATTTTTTTCCATGATTTTCGTCTTCTTTTATAGTATTCATGTTACCTCTTAACATTGGTGGCGAAAGCTCTATTTTGGATAGTAATCTTTATTACTTGATGCAGCCATTAAAGTTGTCACAGGACCACCAAATATAAAATTTACGCGATTAAAAATCTATTTTATTTTTTTTATTAATTTATAAAATTTTGTCTCACTTCACAATATTTGGCAAAATAACCACTAAACTAATTTGATAAGCGCTTTACATGCTTGTATTTTTTTAATATAAATATACAATATCTATTAGTTTTTTCGTTTGGTTTGAAGTAAGATGAGTGTAAAGAATTTCAAATGCAGGATTTTGCGAATAACCAGATTCATTTTTGCATAAATAAATGCACGTTAAATATTTGATTATTTAGAATTCATCATCTAGTTCAATTTTGTTGTATTTGAAATTTTTCTGATTTAGATGATTTTTAAAGACACTGTTAAATTCATCATCATTATTGCTACCTGCCACTGTCGGTTATCGCCAACCCCATCTACGGATGTTGCCACCACCACCCTTTTCGGTTGCCCGCACTATTGCCACCCACCGCCCCCCTCTTGTAATCGTCGCCATCACCACTCTCCATCAGCCACCGCTCATCTTCAACCGTTGCCACCATCAAACATTGCCAACTGCAGTCAACTATCAATACCACTCGTCGACCATTGCCTACTGCCACCCAATCGCCACCTCCATAGGTCATCATTGACAATCACCCGTCATTGCCAATCATTGCCAGCCGTCAATCACTATTATAAACCATATCACCTAGCCACTCACTTTACTGGCCAACATCATGTTTAAATTTTACACTACATTCTTTTTTACTTTAAATCAAATAAAAAAATAATTATATATATTTATTTTATGTTCATCTAAATAATTTTAAAATATTTCAATATACTGTATGCTACATTCTTTTAAATTTCTTTTTAAGTAAATTAAACAGCCACTTAATCCAACGGCGAGGGATCAATTCTGTCAGTTTTTAATGGATATGCGGATGCTTTTCCATGTGGTCGCGACTCGCGAGCCGCGCGGCGCGCTGGAGACTCGCGCGGCTGTACCCTTTTCCACTTCCACAGGCTGCATCCCATTACCACTTCCACAGATCATTCGATCGACCCGCGAAGCCAAAACCCTAACCTTTCTTTTACCATTTCCACCCACCCGGAGGCGACGGTGCAGGAGAACCGGTATATCCTATTTACCTTCGATACCTTATTTAAATGGATGCTGTGCGTTAATCTTTCAGAAGGATGCAGCCATTTGTGTCCCCTGACCATTTACAGTACCTAAACTGTAAACTTTTTAGCTCGTGAGTTTTCTGACCACAGCGAGGGCAACCGCTGCAAGGAGAAACACCGCCTTCTGGGGCTCCTTACGCAGACAGAGCTCGCCCTAGACTAACGGTCTCTGGGAGAAGGTCTACAGTTGTTGTCTCCAGAGCAACCATCTCCTGGTTTAAAGGTTAGGTTAGGATATAATTCTAGTGATTTTTTAAAGTTTCCCTACCATCTGTTCTGTTTATTTGATTTTAATAAGGTATTTGCGATGGTAGAATTTTATGCGAAGTTTATTCGGTTGATTATTTCTGAACGAAGTTTAGAATAATGCCTGTTAAGGATCAAAGGCTATCATTTTATTACTTACGAATCATCATTATTAATTTTATGTATAGGGTATTTTCGAGTTGACTCAAAGAACATTCATATAGTTCGGATGTTATGATTGATTGAATTGGAATTCTGAGTTCTGCTTTGAGTTAAGCTTGCTCTTTAGTCTGGCTAAACTTGTCTATTTGAGCTTGATTCAAGCTTGATTTGATCGAAGTACAATCCGGTGCTCGATTTGGGATATTGAAAGGCTAATGACATTTTTATTGAAATAATCGTCCCGTCTTGGAAAAAAAGAGTTGAATGAATTCATACTGTTCAATGTGTTCGTGTAAAATTTTGACAGAAATTTAAGTCTCATAGGCATTGATTACATGACATTGAATTAATTTTAGATTGTAAAAGGCTTGTTAGAGTTTATCACATTTTAGTAGTGCGAACTTCTATGTACCTTGAAGAGGTTGAGGATCATGCAAAATGAACTTGATTATCCATGTCTTCCTTGTGTCATACTGGGAATAATACTAATAATTGATCATATTGAGGTATAGATTGCACAACCTTGACATTCCTAACCAATTCCTTTCTATTATGAAAGTGATACCCTCTGTGGATCCTAGAAAAAAACATAAATATACTCCTACATCCAAAAACACTTCACACACACTCACACAAAATCCTAGAATCTTATTGTAATTCGATCTCAGTTTGAATAGGTATACTTTATTCTAAATTGTGGACCTTTTTTTCCTAAATTAAGATCACCCATAAATTGAATTTTTTTAATCCGAAATGAAATATTTAGTAACAATTAACTAATAAAAACTAAATAGTGTCATTTTTTTTTGGGGGAAATTGAAATAGTATCATTTGGTGCTATGATGAAGCTAATCACAACTTTGAGATGAGGATAAAGTGATAAAAATAAAATGTTGGACTCCCAAAGAATTTTATGATTAACCTGATATCAACTTTGGTCAACATTGCTCCTTATTTTCAAAAGCATAAACCTTTTTGAATTAGGTAAATAGTCACCTTTATGGCTTTATCTTTCTTAAATTTCTCATGAAACAAAAAAAAATTAATGAATTAGAGCTTCCATTCTTTATTGGTTAGTGGACAATCAATGCCTTATCTTTTTTCTTGTTTCTTAATGTCTGGGATTGAGATTTCAATTGGAAATCCTATTCATCACCATGTTATTTGAACTGAATTTTTCGAATAAGGGATTGGATAACTTTTTTGAATTGATACTCTCTAAAGTGCTAAAGTTTTATTTAGCATTCAATAAGCCATAAATTTATCTATTTCTCATTCTATGTTAATGTCATTATTAATAGATATTATGATTTATAAGAAGATAAATATTCTATGCATTTAGGAAATTAAATGTGTTTGAGAGAAGGCTAAGAAAATTGATAGTTTAGGGTTTAAATTATAGTACTTAGGTAGGAGTTGTACTAGAAATGAGATAAGTGTGATTATAGATAAGAGTTTGAAGTATAATATGGTAGAAATTAATAGAATTAGAGATAAAATTATAGCTTTAAAGATTATTGTTAATGCTAAGATTATTAATATTATTCGTGCTTATGCTTCTCAAGTATGTTTGGATATGTGTTCAAGTTAAAATTTTAGAATGACTTTGAATAAATTAATACAAAAGATACATCTTGAAGAAAATGTTTTTATTTGAGGAGATTTAAATTGACATGTTGGTAGAGAAGTAGAAGATTTTACAAGTATTCATGGTAGTTGTGGGTTTGGAGCGATTAATGAAGATGGGAGGACTATATTTGATTTTTCTCTAGCTTATGATTTTATAATTGCAAATATTTTATTTAAGAAATGAGAGGAGCATCTCATCATTTATAAGAATGGATATAGTAAAACTAAGATTGATTATTTTCTTATAAAAAAATAGATCGTTTTGATTACAAAATTGTAAAGTTATTTTGAGTAAATGTTTATATATCCAGCATCGCTTTTAGTTTTGGACTTTAAGATGAAGGGCATAATATGAAAAATAAAGTAAAATGTTATTTTAGGATTAGATGAGAGCATTTAAATACTACTAACAAAAATATTTTTGAGAGTGAGATGCAATATCTTAAGATTTTGATTGTGCACGAGGAAGCTAATGTTATGGGGGGGAAAATAGCTAATGATATTAAGAATGTTGTTAAGGATGTGCTTGGAGTATCAAAAGTTAAAACTCCTAATAGTAAAAATAATTGGTGGTGGAATTAAAATGTGCTTGAAAAGATAAAAAAAAGAATTTTTGTTATAAAAATTAATTTAGATGTAAAAACTCAAAAAATTAGGAAATATATAAAGAGATCCATAAGGAGTCTAAGAAAACAATATGTGATGCACAAAAAATAGCTTTTAATAATTTATATAATATATTAGATACAAAGGAGGGTAAAAGATGTATGTATAAGTTAGTCAAGCAAAGAGGTAGAAGAATGAAAGATTTAGTTCAAGTGAAGTGCATTAAGGTGAAGATCAAAATATGCTTTTATTAGAAGAGGATATTCAACAAAGGTGAATAAGATATTTTGATAAGCTTTTCAATGAAAATTGTGAGAATATGATTGACTTTAGTGACCTTAACACCCTAAATAAAAATAGAGATTTTTATTTTTATCGGCGTATTAGTAAAACCGAAGTAAAAGAGGCTTTAAAGAAAATGAAGTATGAAAAAGCTGTTGGACCTGTTGATATTCTAATAGATGTGTGAACATGCTTAGGAGATGAAGAATTTTTTTGGCTTACAAAACTTTTCAATATTATTTTGAAAACTAAAAAAGATGTCAGATGAGTGGAGTGTGTTGCTTTCTATTTTTAAGAATAAAGGTGATGCATAAGAGTATGTAGATTATATAGAAATTAAATTAATGTGTAATATTTTAAAACTTTGGGAGAGAGTTATTAAGAATAGGTTATGACATGATACTCTTGTTTCTCAAGATCAATTTGGAGTCATGCCGAATAGGTTTATTATGGAAGCTACACATTTATTGAGAGGTTTGATGGAGAATTATACGGATAATAAGGAGGTTTTACATATGATATTTATTGATTTAGAGAAAACTTATGATAAAGTTTCAAGAGAAGTGCTATGAAGAGTTTTAGAAAAGAAAGCGGTTAATAATGTCTATACTCAAGGCATTAAGGATATGCTTGCATGAATTGTTACTTGTGTTCAAACATAAGGAGTTTGTACCAAGTATTTTCCTATTTCAGTTGGATTACATCAAGGATCAGCTTTAAGCCCATATCGTTTTGCTTTGGTCATGAATGTTCTTACCAGACTTTTGCAGGAGGATGTACCCTAGTGTATGCTTTTTGCTGATGATATTCTTCTTGTTGATAAGACTAGAGAGGGAGTTGAAGGTAAACTTATTATGGAGGTCAACTTTAGAATCTAAATATTTTCTTTTGAGTAGATCTAAAACTGAATACATGGATTCTAATTTTAGTAGTAATAGATTATAGATCTAATGGGGGGATTATGACTTTGGGCAATCAAGTCATTAATAAGACCACACATTTTAGATATCTCGGGTCTATTGTCCAAAGCGATGGTGAAATAGATGGGATATTATTAGTATAATTCAAGTTGGATGGTTGAAGTAGAGGAATGTATCAGGCTTGTTGTGTGATAGAAAAGTATCACTCAAATTTAAGAGAAAATTCCATAAGATTTTGGTGAGACCTGCAATGCTTTATGATGCAGAATGTTAGCCATTAAAATACAATGTTAAGTGTTACAAAGATAATGATGATCAGGTGGATGAGTGGCTTTACTCTTAGGGATAGAATGTGAAACAAGCATATACATGAAAATGTTGGAGTAGCTTTAGTGACAAATAAGATTAGATAGAGTCGTCTTAAATGGTTTGGTCATGTAAAATGTCAGCCTTCTGATGACTTGGTTAGGAGAGTAGATGTATTAGATTTGGCCTATGTTAGGAGAAATAGAGATAAACCTAAAATAGACTTGGTTAGAAAATATTAGAACTGACATATTTTTATTAGATTTAAATGATAATTTGACTCTTAACAAGACACAATGGAGAAAAAGAATTCATGTAGTTGACTCCAAGTTGTGGGATAAAGGCTTGATGTTGTTGTTTTTGTCATTCTATGTTCATGGATTTAATAAACTTTTGCACATTTTTGTTGTGAATCATCGGACCTATTTTTAGATGGAATTTATCTAATGGTAGAAATGCCTTTATGCTTGTTAGAAGATCTATTGCAATCCTTAGTTATTTAAATTGCATCATTTCATTTTAGAAAAAAATTGGCCGGGGATGTGATGGCTCTACAAAATATATTAGAAAATGTTCTCTTTGGAAAGAACTAGATTATGGTGTTACATTTTTATATCTTCTTAATTGAGGATATTAGCCTATTTATTTCTTTCCTCTTCTATTCACCATATGTGCTTATTTATAGGCTCCTAATTACAATCAATAAGAATAAGAATTCTTTCTTTGACATGATACCAGAGCAAGGTTTTCTTGCTCCCGCCTTTCCCTCCTATTTATCTTAGTTGCTCCCTCTCCTGGCTCACTTAACTGCACCCTTTGCCTTATTAGCTCTCACATGGCATGCCCCTGCCACAGGCATCCTACACATATGATGCACTTGCGTGCATCCAACCTTGTCAATGCCCCACCCCGCAACTTACTTGCACGTGAGTTGCTTCGCTCGTCTGCTCCCGCAACTTGCTTATTCAAAGTGCTATGGACTTGCTTGCTCCATGCCGGTGCTTCTCGCAACCTAGCCCTCTCACTTATAATTCCAAAATAATGTGTTGGTCCACATATTATGCTGGTCTGA